CCATCCGAGCTATCTCTCCTCCCGAGCCCCCCGGCCCCATGCCTGCCCGCCCCCTCCTCGGCACCCGCATCGGGTGAATGCGCACCGTGCACTCCCTCCGCCACTCTCGGCCCTGCTTCAACGCTCGAAGCCCCGCTTCGTCGACTTCTTTCATCCGCGTCATTCCTTTGGCGACGGCGAACCAGGTGTTCGCCTCGGTGAGGGGTTTAAGGCCGAGGCAGGGGGGTCCGAGCAGCTTCAGGATGAAGGTCCAGATGCTGTGGCCGCCCGCTTGCTGCGCGTCCGTGACCACGTACCCATCCGGGTCAGTTTCTGTCACCGCCACCAATACCCGGAGGAAGGCCTCCACGTCCACGCCCGTACCCCTCCCTCCCTCCCTCTTCCCTTTCTTCCCCCCTTTCCCCGCCTTTCCTCCAAGCCCCCCCTCACCCTCGACCCAAACCTCCACATTCTCTCCCTCCCCCATCGCTCCCTGCGGCGTCGGTGGGCCTCGGGGCTGATAGTGCGGATGGAGCAAGCCACTGTCTCCCCTCACCTGCGCCACGGCCTTCACCAGGGCTTGAAAGGGGTTCTCTTCCTTCTTCGCCAGCGCCTCCTCCGCGGCCGCCGTCCTCCACAAATTGCGGCGCCGGCCTCCGTGCGGGCCCGTCAGCCTATTGTGCACGCATATGGGCCGTTGAATATCCAAGGGTTCGTGAGACATCCAGACGGTCGAGAGATACTCCTCCACCACCACGGCGAATTGCGCCGGGTTCAGGCCAGGGGCGACGGACGCGACGGCGGCTTGAAACTGGGGGTAGAAGGTGGGGTCGCGCATCGGGTCTTTCAAGGAGACGCCCACGATGAAGGTACCCCGGACGGACAAGGGCCCTCCGGCATAATTACCTTCGAGTATGCCAAGTTACCAACCCAATGTGTGTGACATGAATGTACCTCCGTAACATAAAGGATGCCGTCATTTCTTTAAATTTGCCCGTAAGACGGAGCAAAAATGCTGTATTTGCCAGATTCTATTTGACAGGCTCTGACGCAAGCAACCGTTTACCAGTGTCTTGTCTGCCTTGAAGGACATGCCCTTAGCATGTTAGCTTTTCCCCCTTTGCTTTTCTCTTCTACGCTTGCCATTCTCATGTCTGCTTTAGGGATAGAGTCTCCTCTCACCCCTTGTGTTGTATCTTTTTTTATCACACCATGCGGACTTCAAAAAGAGATAGGGCCCGGCACATACCTTTTCTTTTGTGACTGAATGCCTTTACTCTATACTTTGTGCTTCATTTCAACCCGACCTGGCTGTTTCCTGTTCTCCCTTTTCCCTCACGCCACTGAGGCAAACGTGGCAAACGTATCAATGATACACAAGGCCGCCGCCATGCCCCCTGCAGCTGCTATATCTCTAGCCGTCAACCCCTCCGCATTTCGGATTGAGGCGTCTGCCCCATTCCGAAGCAAAGCCTCGAGGCAGCCGACCTTCCCTTCCTGGGCCGCACACATGACAGCTGTCATTCCTTTATCGTCTTGCGCGTCCAACAGCCGTTGCCTGTTCAGGCCAAAGGTGTACCCCACCAGCACTTCCAGGGCGTCAACGTGTCCGCACTGTGCTGCCCAATGCAGGGTGGTGCGCTGCCTACCCCATAGCGGGTTGCCTCGACGAGGACAGGCGCCATTTTCCAACAGCAACCGGACCATCTCCATGCAACCTTGGGTCTCTGCCCCGTTCCCGATCCGACTCGCGTCCAGCAGGCATTCCAACGCCACGTGCAACGGCGTCTTGCCCGCCCGATCCGTCAGGTCGGGGGCCGCGCCTCGGGCCATCAGGAATTTGGCCATGGGCACTCCTCCTTTCCGAACGGCTACGTGCAAGGCAGTCTCATGCTCAGCGGCCGTCACGCTCTTGTACTCTTTCCGACTCCGCGGAGAAGGCTTTCCCTCGGCGCCGCCGTCCCCCACGTCCCTGTCCATGCCAAAGGCAGGAGAGGACAAGGCTCCACGCGAGGACGGATCCGGAGACTCCACCCAGTTTTGACCTTTTGAGCTGTATTCGTCGACCAGAAAGCTCTTTCCATCGATCGCCGCCCCAGCCTGCAGGAGCAGATCGGCGATTTCCTCGCTCAACACATTGGCTGCCGTGTGCAAGGCCATGGTCCCGTGCTCATTTCGCTCGTTCGGATTGGCTCCTGCTTTAAGCAAAGCTGCCACGGCTATGGGACAGGCAATGGAAGCGGCCACGTGCAGGGGGGTATTCCCGTCAGGACCCACCGCGTTCAGTTGCTCGGAGGAATCGAGAGTTTGTAACAATTGTCTCAAGGCCGGCTCGTCACGGTTCAAAATTGCCTTGTGGAGCTTAAAGTCGGGCCCTTTCATTGCTAGCCGCATGGCTTCGTCGTGCGCGTAGTGCCACGGTTGACTCTGGTAGCGGTCTTCTATGAAACAGTCCGCGCCAGCGGCGACTAGCGCAGAAATGACTTGAAGTTTGCGTTCACGCGTACCCCTGCCCATAGCTGTGCATTAGGGCAGTCAGGTATGTGGTGAATGACCTCGTATGAAACCATCCTGCCGTACTGCATCATGTCTCACGGCTACTTACCTGCCAAATGTAACGGTGTTGCAGAGCTGATGTCGTTGACCTTGTTGACGGAGGCACCCAAATCAATCAAGCATCGTACCGCATCAACATGTCCGGCGATCGCCGCCAAATGGAGCGCCGTCTGTCCACCGCCGCCTAGGGCATCTGCCCAATCAACCGAGACTCCTCCCTGAACAAAGTTAGGGAAGAAATAAGGTAAAAGAATGATTACCTTCCGTCGATAGCACATAGAGCCAACACGAAAGGCGACAGGAAATCTCGGCGTGTTAGGCAACGTTGAGGGGGAAAAAGAGGAAAATCAAGCAAGATATGGAACAACTTGTCAATCGCCATAGTGAACCTGAATCCATGAGGGATCGTCTTATGGAGTTGCGCTTGTTCAGAACTCACCTGTACAAGATCTCGAATCGTTGCGGCATCATTATGAGAGGCCGCGCTTAATAAGGCCTCCCCCTGCAATTGCTCCGAGGAGCGCTTCCGGCCTCTTCTCCTTCCCGTATCACCGTTGCTTTCCTCCTGTGGCGTGCGTGCCTCACTATCGTACCCACCGCCGACCGGCACGGACACCGCAAGGCTCGTAGATGCTTCTTCTGAATCACTCATCGCATGGTATCTTGTAAAAAATGGAGACGAAAAAAAACTCTCGCTCCCTGGTTCATTGTAGTGAGAGGAGAATGATTGGAAAGAGAGCTTCATGGTACGTGCTTGCGATTGAGCTTCCTCCATCATAAATCGTTGATGGAGTATCACGCTCCATTTAAATGAAATTTCAAGGTATTGACTATCATTTTTGTATATTTTCCGCACCAAGATTGATGTTTGTGCCGTTAACGGCGCCTTTTTACGGAGCATAAGGGCAATCCACTTGGGCCAGATGCCGCAGACAAGGGCGTGGCGCGTGCCTCTGCCCTTGTAACGTTTTTTCAAACTTACAGTTGGAAACTTGAGACGTGGCGCTACGTGGAGCTGAAGCACTGTACGTGGGTGGTGAAGTCCCATGATAGGAGAAGGTGTCGGTGTACCACGAGGTTGTTTCAAAATCGATGATCTTGGGAACGAATAGATAGTGAGGAGGTAGACTTACGCTCCAATCCATCTCTCCGTGATTTGCTCTGCTCTCGGCTTCATGCCCTCTCTTAGATTTGTCTGGATGAACAGTGAGAAATTTACCGCTCATACCATCGCTTAGGAATTTCGAATGGTCTGTCAGATTATAGAATGACAATTACTGTTGCTGACATTCAGATGTCGTGCGAACGCCGCATTTACCTATTTGATGGACGTGCAAGATCGAAAGATACGGCAGGGCGGATAGCTTGCGGTAGACCGACCACAGTAGCAACATGCCTCGTATGAACTTGAAGCGGCATTCGACCGTTGTGTAGAAAGGAAAAAAAATTAACACGAGAGAACATAAGCCTGTAGCATTTAGAGAGACTGAATGCTTGCTCTCTTATCTTCACGCTCCATTTTTCATTTTCATTTTTGCGAAACTCTGAAGTGCGATTGCCTGTAGAAGCCTCATCCTTATCTCACAAACGGACGGAGCTTTCGAACCATTCTTACGTGCAAAATTTGCAGCCCGCAAAACATCTCGCCCGATCCGCCCGCCCCGTGAGCAATTCAGACATGTGGCGACTCCGCCTGTCCTTACATTTCCACCAACACCGAATTTTCCAAGTAACGGCCAGCTGTTGGCATGGGGGACCCTCCTCCATTCATCGAGGACATGGGCCCTAAATTGACAGCGGGCAGTACATGAGGGACTACCTCCTCCGCCCCTTGTCGCCCCACGTCGTCGGCCCGCATAATCAGGGGATGGATAGCGGGGGGATCCCCGAGGGAGGATGGCGTGGTCGACGCGGCGGGAATGAAGACAAGCTGTGCATCTAGAGAGCTTTTCCCGTTCTGGGTCGTTACCGAGGCCCGCGCATGCTCCCCTCCACGCCTTTCTCCTTTTTTACCTCCCACCCTCACGGCCTCTGCGTCGCTAGGTAGTTTCCGCTTTCGGCCCCCTCCTGAGGCCTTTTTCCCCCTTCCATTAGGACCTGAGAAACAACCCGTGGCATCCGCATCCGTGAGGTGAGCCTCCCCGCCCCCATGCCCACTGAGACCGGCGTCCCCGGGCTTTGAAGGGTCAAAAGTACGAGACGCAGCCAGCTTGTGATGGGAAGAGGGAAGCAAATGGCTCAGGGGCAAGGCCTCATGCGACTCCCACAACGTCCTGTAGGCGTTCATGGCTTCTTGGTAGCGGTCCCGAGGGAAAGTCGGGGCGATGCGCTGAATTGCGTCCGCAAGGGCCGCCTCCAGTTCGGGTCCGGGGGGTCGAAGCGTGATGCCCGTCAAGAACGTTCCGCGAACTTTCCTGACGTCGGCCACTGCAAAGGAAGATTCGCAGGTAGAGGAAGCAGCGGCGGTGGTGGTAGGCGGCAGGGGATGTGTCGAGGGATCGCTGTCTGGGTCCCGCGGCAACGAGGGGGGGGAAGTAAAGGGAAGGGAAGAGGATGGGCGCCCAGAAGCCAGGGCCTGCCCCACCCCATTCTTGCCGCTTGCGCTC